ATCCGGGACTGGATGGCTTTAAACTTCTTAAGCTTCAATGAGAAGAAGTCTGAGGTCATGCTGTTCTTCCCAGTGGCTCACTCACGAACCATGACATTGACCTTTTCTCTCTAGCCCCGCTAGAGAAACAAAAGGTCACTAATCTGGGGGTGATAATGGACCCGTCCTGAAAACTCAACAGTCATGTAAACATGATTGTCAAATCCTGTTTTTTTCAGCTGAGACGACTGTCTAAGCTGAAACCTATACTCTCCAAGAAGAACCTTGAGACAGTGATCCACGCCTTCATAACATCTAGGCTTGATTACTGCAATTCACTTCTGTTTGGAATCAGTCAGTCCTCCATTGCTCGTCTACAACTGGTCCAAAATGCTGCAGCCCGATTTTTAACGTACAGGCTATAGAGAGCACATCACGCCAGTTTTGGCCTCCCTGCACTGGCTACCCATTCACCTTCGGATCCAATTCAAAATTCTCATGTATGTTATTAAATCACTGAACAGTTCCGCCCCATCCTATCTCACTGATCTTCTGCAGCCATATGTCCCACCGCGCTCTCTGAGGTCAGCAGACCAGATGCTTCTCTCAGTCCCAGAAACCCGTCGTAAGCTCAGAGGTGACAGGGCTTTCTCTGTTGCAGGTCCACGACTGTGGAATGAGTTGCCACTGAGTGTCCGGCAGGCTCCCACACTCTCAGTCTTTAAGTCTCGCTTGAAGACCCACTTCTATTCTCTTGCCTTTAGCACGTTGTGATTTGTTTTGGTCCGGTCTGTTCTCAACTCTGGTGGCCATTTTAGTTAGCTTCTGCTGCTATTTGTATCTGTATTTCTATTTTATGTTTTCCTGTCCGCTGTGCATGTTTGTTTTCTTTTGTACAGCACTTTGGTTGGCCTTGTTGCTGTTTTAAGTGCGCTATAAATAAATTGGTATGGTATGGCATTGTTGTCATCATTCTTTGTTGAAATCAGGTCTCTCTTGAAAATGAGTCCTCAAGGCTCAATGGGATTTACCTGTAGAAATAAAGGTTGAATGAACATGATGTTGCTGCTGATCTGTTTCATGTTGATGCTGATCTGTTTCATGTTAATGTGTTCATGCGTGCTTATCTGTTCACACAGACTCGTGTTCATGTTTGTGCTGATGTTCGACGTAATGTTTTTTGCTATTAGTGCTTAGTGTATATTTAGTTGATGTGTTTCTTAGTTCATATCTTAGATGTTATCATTGTTTTTCTTTTACATTTTATTGTTGGACGTAATTGGGACCCCGTGTACATAATTTCACTCCACCACATGAGGTGCGAATGACAATAAAGAAACTCTGACTCTGACTCTGAAATTCTTTGGTTATGCAAACCGATTGTTGCAGCAGCTGCCTGGGTGGCTGATCTCAGACTAACTTGGAGATGCTGGATGTGGAGGTCCTGGGGTGGTGTGGTTACACATGGTCTATAGTTGTGAACCTGGTTGGATGTACCGCCAAATTCTTGGAAACACCTTTGGAGATGGCTTATGGTAGAGAAATTAACTTTTGATTCACGGGAACAGCTCTGATGGACATTCATGTAGTCATCATGTCAGTTGTACGTCCACTCAAATCTTGCAACATCTGTGGCATTAATAAAATGGTGCATTTTAGAGTGGCATTTTATTGTGATCAACCTAAGGGACACCTGTGCAATAATTGTGCTGTCTAATCAGCATATTGACATGCCACATCTGTGAGGTGGATTGATTATCTTGGCAAAGAAGAAGTGTTCACCAACACCCATTCACACAAACATGTGAACAGTATTTTGAAGTAAAAGGCCTTTTGTGAACAGAAAAGTCTTCGATCTTTGAGTTCTGCTCATGAAAAATGGGAGCAAATATAAGTGTTGCGTTTCGATATTTTTTCTGTGTATTTTATTTATTTGTTTATTTATTTATTTATTTATTTATTTATTTATTTCATTTCAGTTCCATTAAAAAAACACACAAATACAATTTAAATAATTTAAAAAAATAAACATAAAATGAAAGGAAGCAGAAGAAGAAAAAAATTCTTATCAAATCTGCTCCTTCTTTAACAGATCAATTTAACTATCAATTCAAACAAAAAGTCAATCACAACATTGCAACAACGTAGATAACTCAAACAGATTTTACATTTAAAATAATTAGACAAACAGTTGTTTATATTTTTCCAACAAAATAGTTTTTATCTTTTTCTTAAATGTAAAAATTGACTTCTCCATTTTACTGGCATGCATGGTTCAATTCAATTCATGGCTCAGTTCAATTCTCTGAAGCAGTTTAAAAAAATACTGAATAGCTTGTTAAAAAATGTAAACTATATCAAAACAAACAAAAATGTTTTTTATAAAAATGCGCATCCTTTAACTTTATGTGGATAGGCTGTTAACAGCTAACAGTTTTAGTATATTTTATTTGAAGCTCCTGACAATGAAAAAGCCGCCATCACAAAATATTTCTTGTTTTACAAAATGACTGTAAACATTAAAACAAAGCATCAAAGTGACATTTTGTTAAGATTAATTAACATTTTTGCATATGGATGCAATCATTAATTCAATGATTGTTTATTCTCTTGTTCACTTTTCAAACTTCTCTCCAAACTCAGGTTTTCCTCCACCTTTACCCTTTGCAGCTTCCACGCTCCTATCCTCTCCTGGTTGCTAAGCAGCGGCCAGAGGAAAGTGAGACATTGAGAAAAGCTACTGTCAGTGTCGCCATGGCAACTGTGCGAATGATCCAGGTGGAGGTCAGAAAGAATTGTATTCTTTTTCTAGCCTCTCTCTTTTTGTCTCTTCTCATTGCTTTCTTCTTCTCATTCTGCTACTTTCTATTGTTTTTCTTTTTCAGTGCTGCCTTTCATTTCCTCTGTTCTTTGTGCCAGCAGTGGATCTCTTTTTACATTCTTCATTCTTTATCTGCTCAAAATTGGTTCCTCTCTGATGCTAATCATAGAAAGAATTACAAAAGGAGGCACAATGATCTCCCCCCACCCCCCAACACACACACATATGTATATAATTCATAAGGATGAGGGAGCATTTAACTGATACCCAACCTACTCCTTAAAAAAAAAAAAAAACTCTCCAAAACTCACGCACTCACCTCTGCGGCTTTCCCTGTTCAGCTTGGATGGGTCATTGTAGTCGCCCACCCAGTTGCACTCCACAGGCATGGAGATGGGCCTCAGCCTGCCTACAAATTCAAATAAAAATGAACTTATTCCTAGTTTTGCAAAGAGCCTGCTTAATTCAATCTTTTGGTATGCATGTATAAATTAAGAGTTTTAAGACAGTGTGTAAACAAGTTTATTTGTACTTTTTGTATATATTTTTGATGGACTGTCTGTGCTCATTTAAGCTTTTAGCATCCTACGAATGCAAAATTGAATATATAAAAAAACGTATAATCACTTATCTAACTTCAACTTTTTGCATGCACTGTATTTCACCTCCAAATAACAAACTTCAGCACTTCCAGTTGAATGAATCATCCCACTCTTATCAGCTTTTAAAAAAGTTCAGTTCAGTGGATGGAGATTGAACTCGGTTACCTCTCATCAATTATTTTCACAGACATAAACACAAAATTGTCCTTCCTGACCAAAAACATGCATGCTAGGCCGATTGGTAACTCTAAATTGTCCCTAGGTGTGAGTAGGAAAGTGAATGGTTGTTTGTCTCATTTGTCTCTACAGGTCCTTCTCAAAAAATTAGCATATAGTGATAAAGGTCATTATTTTCCATAATGTAATGATAAAAATGAAACTTTCATATATTTCAGATTCATTGCACACCAACTGAAATATTTCAGGTCTTTAATTGTTTTAATACTGATGACTATGGCATACAGCTCATGAAAACCCAAAATGCCTGTCCCAAAAAATTAGCATATTCCATCCCACCAATGAAAGACAAGTGTTTTTAATACAAAAAACACCAACCTTCAAATAATTATGTTCAGTTATGCACTCAATACTTGGTTGGGAATCCTTTTGCATGAATGACTGCTTCAATGCGGCGTGGCATGGAGGCAATCAGCCTGTGGCACTGCTGAGGTGTTATGGAGGCCCAGGATGCTTCGATAGCGGCCTAAAGCTCATCCAGAGTGTTGGGTCTTGTTCTCTCAACTTTCTCTTCACAATACCCACAGGTTCTCTATAGGGTTCAGGTCAGGAGAGTTGGCAGGCCAATTGAGCACAGTAATACCATGGTCAGTAAACCATTTACCAGTGGTTTTGGCACTGTGAGCAGGTGCCAGGTCGTGCTGAATAATGAAATGTTCATCTCCATAAAGCTTTTCAGCAGATGGAAGCATGAAGTGCTCCAAAATCTCCTGATAGCTAGCTGCATTGACCCTGCCCTTGATAAAACACAGTGGACCAACACCAGCAGCTGGCATGACACCCCAGACTATCACTGACTGTGGGTGCTTCACACTGGACTTCTGGGATTTTGGCATTTCCTTCTCCCCAGTCTTCCTCCAGACTCTGGCACCTTGATTTCCGAATGACATGCAAAATTTGCTTTCATCCGAAAAAAGTACTTTGGACCACTGAGCAACAGTCCAGTGCTGCTTCTCTGTAGCCCAGGTCAGGCGCTTCTGCCGCTGTTTCTGGTTCAAAAGTGGCTTGACCTGGGGAATGCGGCACCTGTAGCCCATTTCCTGCCCACGCCTGTGCACGGTGGCTCTGGAATCGGCCCTTCTCCACAATCCTCCTCAGGGTCCGGTCACCTCTTCTCGTTGTGCAGCGTTTTCTGCCACACTTTTCCCTTCCCACAGACTTCCCATTGAGGTGCCTTGATACAGCACTCTGGGAACAGCATATGCGTTCAGCAATTTCTTTCTGTCTTACCCTCTTGCTTGAGGGTGTCAATGATGGCCTTCTGGACAGCAGTCAGGTCGGCAGTCTTACCCATGATTGCGGTTTTGAGTAATGAACAAGGCTGGGAGTTTTTAAAAGCCTCAGGAATCTTTTGCAAGTGTTTAGAGTTACGTCGTTGATTCAGATGGTTAGGTTAATAGCTTGTTTAGAGAACCTTTTCATGATATGCTCATTTTTTGGGACAGGCATTTTGGGTTTTCATGAGCTGTATGCCATAATTATCAGTATTAAAACAATTAAAGACCTGAAATATTTCAGTTGGTGTGCAAAGAATCTGAAATATATGAAAGTTTCATTTTATCATTACATTATGGAAAATAATGACCTTTATCAAAATATGCTAATTTTTTTAGAAGGACCTGTATGTATCCCTGTGATGGACTGGAGACCTGTCCAGGGTGTCCCCCATCTCTCAGTGACTGCTGGATATGGGCACCAGTGACCCCCATGACCTGAAAAGGAAGAAACGGACATAAAATAATGAATGGATGGTCATATGGATAAACACGAACCGTATGTGGGCGTGGTGCAGTATGCAGGCTCCTCCTCTTCTCGCCGGTGAGACTCTTGATCCAGGAAGGAGTTTGGCGACTCGGAGCGCTTGGCAGCACTGAAGCCACTGTGGTTATGAGACGTTTCGTCTCCAGACACGGCTCCTGTCTCGTCTCTATGGCAACACCAGAAGCATATGTATCAGAACTGCGAGCAGCTTTATTCTGTTTGTTTCAGCAGTTCATGGAAAATATGCAGACAAATTACCTGGGGGTGTATGGCTCAGCGGGTGGAGGGGGAATGTAGAGGTCCTGGAGGGCGGAGCTCTTGGTGGGTGTGCCTGAGGGCGTGGCTGAGCCACTGCCTGGACTTCTAGTTGACTATACAGGATAAATGCAAGTAAAATAAATAAATAATTTCTTTCAAACTTTTAATGATTGTATGAATCACATTCTGAAACTGTGAATTTCTCCAACATACAATCTTGAAGTTTGTTGCAGTCCTTCAAAAGTCAAAATTAAAATAGAGAAAGCATGGAGGAGCTCAAAATAAAACAAACCCAAGATAAAAATCGTTCTTCTCTACATTTAGCGCACTATTTGATATTTACCAGAAATAGAGAGCATAAACAAATGTATGTTTAAAAGGTTTTGGTTCTTTTATGGATTGCATCTGTTTTATTTTTTCTTAAATCTTGAAGGGTTAGCATAAAAATATGTGTTGACACATGGGCAGTAAAAAATACACGGAGTTCAAAAATCACCAAAAATGAAGCTGATTAAAAGCCTTGCATTCAAGAAATAATATCACCAGATTTTTAAACTAAGATCATGTTATGCTGAAAAAAAGAGATACAATTTAAAACTTAAAAAGCAGACGGATAGATCTGACGCCAGTATTTATGGGCACAGTTTAATGTAAACTTTTTGTGCAATGTGTACTGTTTAGTATGTGTTTGGGTATATTTCCAGCTCCTACTTCATCAGATTTTAGCATGTTCATTTAACAATTGTGTTAAAGACTAATTCATGTTTGCTAAGTTTACATTGCTGTTGCAGCCATCTTGAATTAGACTCACTCTAAAAATTAATCAGTAGTAAATGCACATCAAATTATTCTTTTTTGAGAGCTTATTTAAAATCTGTCTAGCTTCTGAGAGTTTTTGCTAACACTACATACAAACATAAACATGCACATAAGACAAGAACTGGGCTAAGAGGCTTCATATATATTCACATATTTAATGCAACAAACATAAAGTAGTTTAAAGATGTAACCAGGGACTGAGAAGCCTATAAATATATAAATAAAATATTTATGCAGCCTAATGTATATGACAAGATGGAAAATGAGCAAAGACCAATGTCTCTTTGTGAATGGTTGGTTTTATCACAACTTGCTGTCGTGTTGTCAGCACGCTGACAAGGAAAATGTTAAATCATCTCACAGAATTTTGTCTAAATGGATTTAAGTAAAAACACATAAAACAAGGTTTAAAAAGTGACATAATGTGAATAAATCGATTTGTTTCTGCATTTTTTCAAGTATATATTTAAACTTTTAAAGCTTGCATCGGCTGAAAAATTTCAAATAGCATAAATCTGGTGCAAGCGGCTCAGTTGGTAAAACTGGGTGGAGTTTGCATGTTCTCTCCGTGCATGCGTGGGTTCTCTCCAGTTACTCCCATTTCCTCCCACAGACCAAAAACATGCATGTTAGGCTGATTGGTAACTCTAAATTGTCCCTAGGTGTGAGTGAGAGCGTGAATGGTTGTTTGTCTCGTTTGTCTCTATGTGTCCCTGTGATGGACTGGAGACATGTTCAGGGTGTCTCCCACCTCTTGCACATATATGTCTACATATAATTAAATTAAATGTCCGCATATAATATACGGTATGTCCACAGTGGTGTCTATGTCCACGTATGCAGTGATCCCTGCAGTCCGAATAGGAGGTAAAGATAATTAATGGATGGATGGATGGATGGATGGATGGATGGATAAATACTGTTCTTGGCAGTGACTAAGTTTGAAAGTCAGTCATTCAGTGAAAATATGTCATTTTTGAAAGTCAGAGTTCAGTTTGTCACCATGTCCACAAAAGTTTTGTAACAATTTAGCACAAAAAAAGAAAAAGTTGTGAAACATGAACAGTTTTTCCATCGATCCATCCATAAATCCATCCATCATCTTTACCCACTTCTTCCTTTTTGGGTTGTGGGGTCAGTGGTGCCCATATCCAGCAGTCACTGTGAAAGAGGTGGGGGACACCCTTGACAGGTCTCCAGTCCATCATAGGGATGCATAGAGACAAATGAGACAAACAATCATTCACTCACTCACTCACCTCTAGGGACAATTTAGAGTTACCAATCAGACTAACCCAAGTATCCAGAGAAAACCCATGCATGCATGGAGAGAACATGCAAACTCCATCCAGAATGGTCCCTGGCTGGGACTTGATTCGGCAACCTGCTCGCTGAGAGGCAACAGCTCTACCAACTCATCCACCGTGCCACCTGAACACTTTTTCCTTGTTTTGTTTTTTGTTTGTGTGGCTAACGAATGATACTAATTCAGGGGGAAATTTTTCTTAATTAGGTGACTTCTGGGAATGTGGGTGGGAAGCCATTAGTTTCATTTTTCTCATTTAGTTCGTTTAACTTTCAAACAAACCTGCTCTGAGCCACAGTTCCCTGACCTAATTACACGCTTTGGCTCCAGTCGAACAGAAGAAGGAATGCTGTGGGGGAATTAATGTGGGCCAGCGCAACGCTTTAATAAAGTCTATAAAAGGTAGCTCTGGTCCAACCTGCAGAGCCAGGGGTTTCCAACGCATGTTCTTCAGTAGCGCGGGAGTGGAGCTGAGCGTGCTCTGTGGACGCTTCTTCAGTGTCAGGGACACTACACCTTTATCGGCCCTCAATGAGCCAACCAGGTTACGCAACTGCCAGCCCACCTGTGGACCAAGGAGGACAGGAAGTCAGAGGATTTCTTTTTTTGTTAACAAAATCTAATTTTCTTGGAAAATAATCAAATACAAATCTACTCATTAATATTCAGCTTGCATTCAGAATGCTGCTAAGTAGAGGTTTGAATTGTGTCCACGTCGTGATCACTTCTTGATGATTCTGTGCAAAGCAAGTAGGTGGCAAGGTGGTGAAGCTATCTATAGAGCTTTCATGTGATGTAACCTGCCCTCATTTTGAAAACAAAAGCATCTTATCATCTATCTCTTTTTTCACATTTTTACCCACTACATGCAAAAAGCCACGCCTACACTTCTTGCCTGCAGCAGAATGAGAACAGAAATATACTGTAAACAAATATAAATGTCCTGTAGGATTTGGCAGCTAAAGCCTCAACATAACTAAATTTACTGAACTGACATGAGGTTTGTTCTTCATGCATGAGAATGGGCAGAGAAAGTTTTTGAAGTTTTTGAAATGAATGCTAGATTTGAGGCAACAACTGCAAAGGCTTGGCCACTTTTGTTTCGTAAATGTGGAAATGAAAACATTGATACCAGTTTATTTTGTTCATCAATTTTATTTATCACTTTTATTATTCATTTACTTTATATCACTACACTCTGTTAAAGATTATCTGGACTGCAGCAGTTACATCAGTGTGTGAAACCTTTTTCTTCTGAGTCTCACAAGCCTGTCGGTACGGAACCCAGCTCCAGAACCGGTCACACGGACCACAAACGTATTGTCTGTTTGTACCCTGATAAGATTGACACTGACCACAAACTACTGTGTTTTTACCCTGATAAGATTGCAAATGAGGTTAACGCCTGTTGTGTCAAAGCAAGTTCTGTTATGTGTGAAGGTGTGTATAAATGAAGCCGTATTGCTAATGTTTTTTCAGAACTCACAGAACTCATTGCTGCGTGCTGCTCATGTGATGTTCTCCTTCTGCAGAAGAAACAAATAAAACTTCGCTTTTTATTTTTGTTGAAGTTCTCAGTCTCAGATTTATTGAACAATAGGTTTAATAAACTCCACAATTTGGCGTCACGAACAGGGACCTTTGCTGGTCCGTTCACTCGGTGGACCCAGGACGGGGGCTGATCACCAGGCATTGCAGGATTCTTCCCTAAACCTCTACTAGGTCTTTTTGAGAGCGAGGGGACGTTCTGTTTTTCCATCGGGAGGATTCGACCTCGACAGAATTCAAACCAGACTGAGACAACAAAAAACAACTACCCATTAAAGGTCAAGCTCATCTGTTCCCACCACCAAAACCCACTTGGGCCCTCGAATCTGATGATGATTTTCAAGAATATGCACAAACATCTGATTCAGAGGAAGAAGAAGATGCAACCCCACCAGTGTCCTCGCTGAAGACCCCAGCTGATACTAAAGGTCCTGTCACTAGAACCAGTACTACAGTCATCACAAGACAAATGGAAAAATTAAGGCCCTTGAAGAAAAGGCTGAAGATATAAAAAAGAAAATTGACGACGTTAAACAGCAAAGCCTAAAGAAAAAACAAACAAAAAAAAAGCAGATCATCATTATCTGACCTTCCCCAAGCTGCAGATGGATTGGACAATCCTGAAGACCTGCTCACCAACCCAATGTTGGAGGTTGGAGGACCGACTGGCCCTCAACTGGTGTACCGAGCCTGGCCCAAGGCAGCCCTGATCGAGATCGAGAACCATCGAGACTACCTACTCCCCAGCATGAGGCATGCCACCTCCCTTCCTGTGTTCAAATCCCTGCTAAAAACATTTGTTCTCTCTGGCATTTCATACTGTGTGAGTTGATTTAGTATATCTTGTTCCATGTCTTCATTTTAATGCTGTTGTTTTAACTTTTTAAGGTATAGTCTTACTGCTTTTTATTTCTTAGTTACCATTAGTGTTAAGCACTTTGATAACAGTCTATCTGTTTTAAATTGCGCTCTATAAATAAATATGACTTGACTTGACTTGACTTGAGATGGCGAGCCAGCACTTGCCTGACCTGGCACAAGGAGGAGCTGCTGTAGCTGCTGCTATGATAAATATGATAGAAGTGGTCCGACCCACACTAGCTGAGCTCAAAATGATACTGGCTTCTATGTATGGGATTGGGTTCATCAGCAACATCGGAGCCCAACTATTTGATGCACGTGATGGACATCGAATTGTCAATGTCCAGGCAGATCACAAGGACAACCAACAGTTCTTCACACATGTGGAAAGGATCACAGAACACATAACTGCAGCGTATCCTCAGACCCCAAGCTTCACAACCATCACAGATACTGTTCAGAGACCAGATGAAGCCCCACAAGACTATGCTAACAGACTGCTGCCCATCTTAAGAATCCACTCTGGTACTCCCATCGATAATGATGACTGGTGAGAAGCCCCTCAAGCAACGTCTTTTGAGATTATTTTCTGCCAATCTCTGATGACTGGACTTCTCCCACCTATCCGCAAAGCTGTTCAATCCACCTACATTGGGTGGAAAACTGGTGTCTGGCTGAATGAGCTCCTCAGACATGCCAGGCATGCCTGGGATCAGCACACAGCTGACCAAACCTCCACCCAGAAGAAAACACAGAGACAAACTGAAGAGGCTCAGCTCACACTGGTACAAGCAGCCACACAGATGACGTTAAATACAGCTGCTGCCCAACTACCTAAGCCACAGCCTGCTCAACCATATCAACACCAGAACGACCCAGCTGGACCTCGTCCTTGTTTCCTGTGTGGAAGCCTCGACTATTGGGTCCAAAACTGCCCCCACAAAATAAATCAGTGGCATGGCAGAGGTCGCCCGACATACCAGCCCAGACCATAGGGCCCGAGGCCTCAGCAGCACGGCCCAGGCCAACAGCACCCACAAAATAAACAGACTTTTTACCCAAGCCCACACCGACGTGGTGGACGTGGTATTGGGCATCCAGGAGGCAGAGGCTGGAGAGGAGGTTACTCCATCTGACTAGTGCCGGGAGACCAGGACCCAGGACTCCGCACTGCAAGTATCAGCACACACACACACCTGTTTTTCCATCAGACACATGCGAGATAATTCCAACATATTACAAATACACTCAGTCAGCGTATCTGAAGTTACCTATGTTGACAGTGTTAGTTCATACCATACCATACCATACCACTTTATTTATAAAGCAATTAAAACAGCAACAAGGCCAACCAAAGTGCTGTACAGACAAAACAACAGGTAACACACAAACAAAATACAAAATGAGGTAAATCAGAATATGGACAAAAAACAATGCAGATAATGACGACAAACCAGTGTAGAGCATACAGGATCAAAACACAGATCATCTTGTGTTGAAAGCTATTGAATAGTAGTGAGTTTTTAAACGGGACTTGAAAACCGAGAGGGAGGGGGCCTGTCTGATAAGCAGAGGTAACTTGTTCCAGAGTCTTGGTCCTGCTACAGAGAAGGCCCTGTCACCTCTGTGCTTAAGACGAGTTCCTGGAACTGTGAGGAACAACTGGTCCACTGACCTCAGGGAGCGTGGTGGGACATACGGTTGTAGCAAATCGGAGAGATGGGGGGGGACACTGTTCAGTGATTTGTAGACATACATGAGTATTTTAAACTGGATTCGAAAGTGAACCGGTAACCAGTGCAGTGAGGCCAAAACTGGTGTAATGTGCTCTCTTTTGCCTGTACTGGTTAAAAATCGGGCTGCTGCATTCTGGACCAGTTGCAGTCGTGCAATGGAGGTCTGACTGATACCAAACAGGAGTGAATTGCAGTAATCAAGCCTAGATGTAATGAATGCATGTATTACTGTCTCCAGGTTATTTTTGCACAATATGGGCTTCAGTTTAGACAGCCGCCTCAGATGGAAGAAGCATGATTTAACAATCATGTTTACATGATTGTTAAGCTTCAGGGAAGGGTCCATTATCACGCCAAGATTAGTGACTCTTTGTTTTTCTGACAGGGTTAGAGCGGAAAGATCGATGCAGTGGTTTGTGATCGTGTCGTTGGGAAGGAACAACATGACTTCAGACTTCTTTTCATTGAAACTTAAGAAATTTAAAGCCATCCAGTCCCTGATGTCAGTCAGGCAGTTGAGCAGCGGTTGAATAGAGCATGTATCATTGTGTCTTAGGGGGAAGTAAATTTGACAGTCATCGGCATAGAAGTGGAAGGGCATGTTGTGATTTCGGAAAATAGCACCAAGCGGCAGCAGGTATAAAGAGAATAGGAGGGGACCCAGTATGGACCCCTGTGGAACCCCCCATTTAAGTTCTGCCTCTGCGGAACTAAAATCCTTGATGGAGACACAAAAGGATCTGTCAGTGAGGTAAGATCTGAACCAATTGAGGGCAGATCCTATGACGCCCACCCACTACTCCAACCTAGCAATGAGGATCTCATGGTCGATGGTGTCAAAGGCGGCTGTGAGGTCCAACAGGACAAGCAGCACAGAATCACCGGTATCTGTGAATCTGAAGATGTCGTTAAAGACCTTCAGCAGGGCAGTTTCAGTGCTGTGGAGAGGTTTAAAGCCAGATTGGAAAAGCTCTAAGATGGCGTGATCCTCCAGGAAGCATTTCAACTGGGACTCGACTATTTTCTCCAGTACTTTAGAAACAAATGGGAGTTTGGAGACAGGCCGGAATTTGGAAACAACTGAGGGGTCAAGGTTTTTTTTTTTTCAGGAGAGGCTGGACAGCAGCATGTTTAAAGGATTTTGGTACCACGCCAGTGGATAAACTACTGTTTACTATGACAAGAATGGATGGACCTAGAGTAGGAAAAACTTCCTTTAGTAGTCGAGGGGGGACCACATCAAAGGGGGAACCAGAAGGTTTCAAGCTGCACATGACCTGCTCTAGAGAAGATAGAGTGATGGGTTCAAAATGATCAAAAGGAGCTACAGATTAAGGTGGGATGGATGGGTCATGAGTTGGAGGGGAAATGAGAGCCCTGGTGGTCGCAATTTTTTTCAAAAAGAAATGTAGGAAGTTGT